ATGTTTCCTGGGAGTCGGTAAATGTCGTGTTTGTCTGTGTGTTAGTTCTGGTCTCATGGGAAACTCGAGAGCCAACTGGGATAGCCTTATAACTGGTGGCGTCCAGGGTGGTGGGTGTGGCTTCTCTTAAATACACTACCTAATAGTAAGTCCAGATTTGGGCAGAGGTGTGTGTGGGACCTGCTTGTCCCCACTTGGACCCAGAGGGGCAAGCTCCGAAGGTGTAACTCACTGCCAAGTGTGGTATTGTATTCCCCCAAATATTGTGCACGCTAATAAACTTATCTGGGGTCAGAGACAGAGCAGCCACAATATTAAACATAAAGGTTAGGCAGTTGTAGCACACTCCTTTAATCCTAGCATTCCAGAGGCAGAAATCCATGTGTTCAAGGATACAGCCAAGCATGGTGACACACGCCTTTAATCCCAGAAAGCAAGCCTTTAATCCCAGGGAGTGGTGGTAGAAAGCAGAAAGGTATATAAGGCGTGAAGACCAGAAACTAGAAGCATTTGGCTGGTTAAGCTTTCAGGCTTCTAGCAACAGTTCAGCTGAGATCCATTCTGGATGAGGACTCAGAGGCCTCCAGTCTGAGGAAACAGGACCAGCTGAGGATCTGGCCAGGTGAGGTAGCTGTGGCTTGTTCTGGATCTCTGACCTTCCAGTGTTCACCCCAATACCTGGCTCAGGTTTGATTTTATTAATAAGAACTTTCAAGATTCATGCTACAGCCAAGGTTCCCGCTCTTGAACACTTCCAGACTTCCTAATCAGGACAGAGGTGGGAAGGGGACAGGGAGATCACAGACCAGCTTCCTCACCAGGGAGGAATCTGCAGGCTCTAACAGACACCTGTATGTGGAAGCCAAGCTGGTCTGTGCTAGACCATGTTCTGGGCTAGACCAGGTTTCCAGAATGCAGAGAGCTTTTCAAAGTGATCTGTGGAAGACAGTAGGACATGGGAATTAAATGACTTTTTAAAAACTATTATTATTATTATTATTATTATTATTATTATTATTATTATTATTATTATAGACAGATCTCAGCTCTGGCTGGCCTGGAATTTTCTGTGTAGACCTAGGTAAACCAGGCTGGCCTCAAACTCTTAGAGATCTACCTGCCTACCTCTGCCTCCCAAGTGCTGAGATTGAAGGTGTGTACCATTTCACTCAGTCCTTCTAGCATCCTTTCCCTTCGATTACTGAATAGTAATTAGTCCCCAGATTCTTGGAGCCTCAGACTGTGACTCGATTTGGAAATCAGATCTTGATGGTTATTGCCAAGCTAAAGTGAGGCACACAGGTCCAAGGTGGCCACACTCAAACCTGACTGGCATTCTTATAAGAATAATAAAGCTTAGGTAGGCTCAGATCAGAAAGCCTGGACAGTTGCTGCAGGAACCAAGGAGCCCCATTTTAATTGCCGGCATGCAGCAGGATAGAGGAGTGACTCCCTGTAGTCTTCAGAAGGGCCCAGCAGGCAGGAAGAGAGTCCTTTGGTAGAAAGATGACGAAGTGAAATTCTGGTACCCATCAGGGTCTCACTGAGCAGACACAGGGGGTCCATGAGGGACGTGTCTGACATTTGACCACCTTTGAAGCTACATACCCTGGATATTCTCCACCCTCTCCAGTCACTGTCAGAAAGTTTTGTCTTAAAAGACTCAAAGTCCACTGGGGTGCTGTGCCCCCCAAGGTCTCAGAGGACCTGAAGTGGGGTTTGCATCATCCCTCCCTTAGCGCAGTCTCCCCAGGTCTAACCTTGAGGAGGGTGGGGTGGGGGGCACACTGTCTGAGACGCTGTCATTTCCACACCCACTCACTGCAGGAAAAGCCGAGGTGGGGGCGTGGGCACCCAAGGCTTTGTGATCCTTGGCTAGCCATTGGAGGATGCCCTGGCGTCTTTCCAGGACCGCTGCAGAGCAGAGAGCTCACGCAGGGTTCCAGACAGCTGCCTTTTGGAGCGCTGTGGAGGCCTGAGGACTGGAGACCCCAGAGCAGGGGTCTTGTTACGGTGGGGCCAAGTTTAAATTTCAACAGAACAGAATGCCCTCTCTCTAGAGACTTCTGCTCTTGGAGATTTAAGGTCCTCTCCCGGCAGATGGTCTGTTGTAGGTAGAACTTGCATTGGATTATGTCTGAGGCAAAGTGGTGACTGTCGGATTGGCAACCGTGGAAACTTGTCTAAACACACTAGGATGCCATGCTACCTCATGGGAATGCAGTTCAGGTGGAGGGGGACAGAAACTGCAGGCCACGTTTGACTTTGGGTACATGTAATTTCTGGGCCTGGATTTCACCCCACCTTCCTGCCCCCTCCAGCATCCTTGATGTCTTTCCCCATCTGTTCTCCATCCTGCCTCCTGCTCCCACCCCCCAAAAGTGGAGCCTTTCCCCCCAACCTGTCTCCTGCTGCTGCTGAAACATTGCCATGGCCATTCTGAAGCATGATGTACTTCCTCTTCCGGTTCTTAGCCCTTTGGGGTGAAAAAAAACTCTGTTTAAAAAAAACTCTGATCCTGTTGTGAAATTCTGCCATCTTCATATCCTGTGTTCCTTCAGACAGCACGTCTTAGCCCCCCATCCACCCAGCCCCATGGCTCACTCCCAATCTGTTTCTCCTGAGATTTATAGCTTGCATACATGCCCGCCCTTCTTCAAGTTAGCTACAGGTGTGTGTCTTCATCCATCACTCTCCTGGCGTCTAGCTCACACTGTGAGGAATCCTGGAGGGCTCAGGGCACCCACTTGCCCTCCTCCCATTTACCTAGTGTGTGCGTTCCTTTTCCTTTTTTCCTTCCTTTCCTCTTCCTTTTTTTTTTTTTTTTTATTTAGACAAGGTCTCTAAACGTAGCTCTGGCTGTCCTGGAGCTCACTTTGTAGACCAGGCTGGCCTGGAACTCACGGAGATCTGCCTGCCTCTCCCTCCTAAGTGCTGGGACTAAAGGCGTGTGCCACCATGCCTTCCATTTTTCTAATCAAAATCTTCACCTCCCCAGAGGGCAGCAGTATCGGGCGCCTGCCTGGTCTCCTCGTCTTCTCAGCCGGTTTGCTGAGAGTGGCCTATGCACTCCTTCCCAGAGTGGGTCGGGAGAGACAATTGTGCCAAGGAATGGCCTGCCATGCAAGGCACCATGCGGTGAAGAAATCCCAAATTAATTTCTTAACACACCATCCCTAAAGGCAGACACAGAACTCTTCACTGGGATCACATGGGCAAGCATGCCTTGGTGACAGGTTCATTCTATGTGTCAACTTGGTTGGACCATGGTCCAGACATGAGATCAAACATTATTCTGGATGTTTCTGTGAGAATGCTGTGGTTAATGTCTTAGTTAAGGTTATATTGCTGTGATATAAAAGTTTATCATCAAAAACAGTGAGGACAGGAACTCAAACAGGGCAGGACCCTGGAGGCAGGAGCTGATGCAGAGGCCATGGAGGGGTGCTGCTGACTAGCTTGCTCCTCATGGCTGCTCAGCCTGCTTTGTTATAGAACCCAGGACCACCAGCCCAGGGATGGCACCACCCGCCATGGACTGGGCCCTCCCGCACTGATGAGTAATTAAGAAAATGCCCCACATTTTCTTGCCTACAGCTGTATCTCATGGAGGCATTTTCTCAGCTGGGGTTCCCTCCTCTCAGATGACTCTCTGGCTTGTGTTGAGCTGACGTAACGCTGTCCAGCACAGTGAGATGATCCAGTTGGAGAGCCGAGGGGACTCTGCCCATGATGGGTAGCCTCATTTCATCCCCTGGAGACCTCAATAGAAAGAAAAGGTCCTCCCCCCTAAAGAAGGCACTCTTCTCTAGCTGACAGTCTTTGAAGAATTCCACCGTGTCTCTCTGAGAGGCTTTAGTAGTACATGTGCACACATGGTACATGTGCACACACGTGTGCTAGCCGGTGCCAGCGGTGTGTCATCTGTGGAGGGTGACAGCTGTCTTCCTCAGCCCTTCTCCGCCTTCGATTTTGAGACAGGGGTCTCTCACCTGACCTGTCTTGGCTAGGCTGGCTGCCCGGCAGGCTCTCTACCAGGCAACACCGGGGTGACCAACAAATTCATCCATGCTCAGCTTTTTCCTCACGTTTGTACGGCGAGCGCTTTCCCCACTGAGCCCTCTCTCCAGCCCCTAATTCATCAGTGTCTCTAAACTCATTTTAAAGATCAAGACAGACCCAGGGCACATATGACGCCTATCCAAGGCCGTTCAGGTGACTAGGAACGGAGCTGGGACAGTGAGCCTGTGTGGCTATGGCACGGCTTTGCTTCCACATCTGCCATGCTTTGTCCCGTGCTCAGGGCAGAGTCTCACAACGAGGTGTCTTGTGTACGTTATGTCGACAAGCGTGGACGAAGAGTAGAGCGAGTAACACGCAGCGGTGAGCGTGCCCCGCCGTGAGCCAGCTGTGGAGGGACCTGAGCCTTGTCTTCCGCTGGGGAAGGCCTTTCCGGACCCCGCCCGCAGCTGGACAGTGGGGGTGAGGGAGCTTTGGGTGTAGCCTGGGCAGTGAGCAGAGAAGTTCCTGTCACTTTCCCCTGGCAATAAAGATATGTACAAGAGAATCTTTATGTCTTTTCCCCAGAGCTTGCTGTTCCCCCTTTGCCTAAGGAGACATTTCTTGCGTGCTTTTCTCCTTGCTGCCTGGGTGGAGCAGGCTCTCTGGCCGCTCTTACCTCATCTCTCTCCAATCTGATTGTCAACGCAGGCCCTTCCGCCATATGTATTTCTTCCCTGAACCTCCTCACCTCCTTGATTTTTCTCTGGATATTTTCCTCTTTCTTAATGCCACTCTCAAGCTGAGCTTTCTTCTCAATTTGGACGCCAAGAGTCACCAGCGGTGACCGGCAACAATGAAGCCTAAGAAAACAGGTCATTCGAGCTGCAGGGACGTCAGCGAAAGACTCTCAGAGTTTGGTTGGCCTTTTGTTAGGAGAACAGTGACTCTGTGAGCTGGCCTGAGAGAGACACTGGCCCCTTTTAAAGTGGACAGAGGCAGAATGGCATGTTCTGAAAGGGCAACGTTGATAGCTGAAACTAGGTGTGCCTCAGGCTGGGGCTGGGGGAAGCCCGAGAGCATCTTGGGCACCGGCAGAGTGTCCAGCAGCCTCGGGAAGGACAGGGCCCAGTGGAAAGCCAGGTGGAGCTGATTGGTGGGGAGGGTGAGCAAGGGAAATTGCCCAGGGGGTGCGTACAACCCGCCAGGCAGAAGCAGGAGCCAGGGGCACCTGGGCAAGAAGGCCCATAAGATGCTCCAGAGGAGCTCTGGACAGGCGCTTGGATATACTACTGGACCTGGCGGGGGACCCATCAACACTGTGAGTGGCGTCTCTGTCTGATATTGTTTTTGTGTTTGAGTCTCTCTCAATCATGGAAGGTAGAACAGGCAGTGGGATGGAGAAAGAGGTAAAAAAGGAAAGAGAGAGGAAGGAATGGAAGAGGAACTTCCTTGTCTTGTTGAGTCAGTGATTAATTCACTGGCTTGTTTGAGCAATTCATGTATCCAGCCGAGCTGAAGGGAATGCCAGAACATAGACAGACTTTCTTTATCGAGTTGGTGACAAGGGATGGTGTGGCTTTGATCACAGAGGACATGGAGATTGAATAATTACTCAGGGTTACACAGGCTTTGCGTTCATGTGTGTTACCGGCCAGATTGGATCCCAAAGGAAATAGAAAACCCGATGAGCACTTGGACTGAGGGTCCCCAGGGCTTGCATCATATTCTCCACTAAGGAGTTTCACAGAGGCTCATTCCTAGGGTCCTCTCACTGGAAAGAGGGTGATATACTTCTTTGCACTCGGGTATCAAGGCAGTACCTTTCTCCAGGTAGGAAGTAAAACCAGGTACAAACCCAGAGGATTATCATCAATGGTTAATGGTGTAATAAATTCAACCCAAAAGCCAATGTGAAGTACGTTTGCGGACATCTGTACTGATGAACATTGCTTAGGTTCCCTGTGAGCAAGGTTGTCCATCCAGGGCTGTCTCGGGTAACAAACACGTCTCCAGTGTTTGAGACTGCATAGGTTCCTGGAGGTCATACCATCGGGATTCAAATCCTAATGCCATGCTATCATCTTCCCTTGTCTGTAAAATGGAGATGTGTCTGTCCGTCCTTCCCTCACACAGTTGACGTAGAGATAGAAGTCAGGTGGTACAGACAGGCTGCATGAAGTCGTAGCGGGCACTCAGCAGAGGACACACTCCTGTGATCTGTTACAACAGGAGGTCGTCACAACTAGACGCTGCTGAGCGTAGGGGTGAGTTAGGGCTGCGAGACACAGGGTAGACCAGGATCCCCGCAGCCACAGGAGCAGACGCTACAACCCGCGGCATCGCCATTAAATATCTGGAGTCATTGCAAAAGGGGGAACTTCAATTCCATGGGAGTAAACGACTGAAGAAGACAAGTCAGTGATGTTGCCCTACTCTATTCCTCGGGAGAGATGACGTCCCCCCACCTTTTCAGTTTGACTTCTCCTTTTCTCTAAACCTGATTTCCTTAAAACTGCCTCAGTCGGGCGGCGGTGGCACACACCTTTAATCCCAGCACTCGGGAGGCAGAGCCAGGCGGATCTCTGTGAGTTCGAGGCCAGCCTGGGCTACAGAGTGAGATTCAGGACAGGCACCAAAACTACACAGAGAAACCCTGTCTCAAAAAACAAAACAAAACAAACTATCTCTACCAGAAACGACGGGCCATGGAGGAGGGATGCGAGAGGAGGAAGTGAGGCCTTGGGAACTGGGTCAATGGCTTTAAAGATTTTTGCTGCCTCTGTCCTTGGTAGATCTGCAGAAATGAAAAAATGATTAATTAAAACTTAGTCACTCAGGTTAAGAGGAGAAGATGGCATCTTTATATTAAAAAAAAAAAAACCAAAAAACTGTTCCATCACAAACAGCAAATGTGTTCTATTGGGCTTTTGTTAGTCAAAACAATATTTCAGGAACAGAATTCCAAGAACTTCAAGGGGGGGCCTATAATCCAAGAAGTTGTATGACACAATCCACATCATCATACACACGAACTCACATTGCAAAAACATACACAACCATAGACTGGGACAACCTGGGACCAAACATTTCTTACAGGGTGTGGAGGAAGCCCTGAGAGAGCAAAGTCCTGAGTGAAGGTGTTGTTGACATGGACATGGTCACGTCAAGGACCCCAGAGCCTGAGACCCGGGGAGTGATGGTAAAGCCATCTCCCGGGGCGGGAGGGGGGGGTGCGGCTCACAGGGAAAGGGCAAAGCCTTCCCCCTGGTCCATGTGTGCATAGCGATAGTGTGTGCAGAACATGTCTCCATAACTTCCCCGCCCTGGATGTTTATGGCCTGAAGACCGCTCCACTAGAGAGGCTCTCCCTACCAAGATGAACTCAGGCTCTCCCCTTGAGCCATCTGTACACCCCACACGCTGCCTCCTTGTTATCTGTACACCCCACACGCAGCCTCCTTGTTTATCTGTATGTGACAACCCACCTTTTCTGTCCAACCCTGTATAAAATAAACACTCTGACTTCTAGGGGCTAAGGTTTCCCCATCTGAGAGCCCAGTCTGTCCAACCCCAGCTCTCTGTCTGCCTGTCTGTTTGTCTGTTTTTTCTTTATTCCCCCTCCACCTTCAGCCAGGTGTAAGTGCCTGGAAGCTGTGTATGGATGCAGTCAATGGTGCCCAAACAAGAACAAGAGTGTAAACGTTGGCTGTAGGGACTCTCCTAGGTCAGATGAGGGAGTGCTCCAGGGACAAGTTTTACGCTTGTACAGACGAAAGGGGTCATGGGAAAGTGTTGGGGATATTCGATCACACTGTGACCGTTTGTATTTGCATTACTTAAATAAAATTAACCTTGAATCAGGAGGCTGAGTTAGCAACTAGTTGACAGAAGGTAACCACAGAGCATCAGAGGGCATCCAGGAGAGACAGAGAGACACAGGAAGCAGTAGGGTGGGGTTTGGAGTGCCCCAGGTGTTTCTGCTTTGGCGAAGGGGAAGCATGGGGCTTCCGTGGACACCAGCAAAGGGAGAGGGTCAGCTAGTTGCTGCTCGGCCTCACTGAGCTCACAGGTTTTCACCCCAGCCTTTGAATCGCGAGTCTTTTTTTTTTTTTTTTTTGGTTTTTCGAGACAGGGCTTCTCGGTGTAGCTTTGCACCTTTCCTGGAACTCACTTGGTAGCCCAGGCTGGCCTCGAACTCACAGAGATCCGCCTGCCTCTGCCTCCCGAGTGCTGGGATTAAAGGCGTGTGCCACCACTGGCCGGCAAATCTCAAGTCTTATTCATAATTAGATTGATAGAGACTTAATTAAAGCTATCTTAGCGGCAGTGACAGGGCCGGTGACAAGGGAACAGAATTCCCCCCAGGCTGTGGCCTGAGCGGCCAGGCCATTGCTAGAGAAGCAGGCCGGTCACTGCAGAGTCGCAAATGCCGGCTGAGACAGCAGTAGATTAAGGCACAGCCACTGTGCTGAGGTTAACACGACAGAAAAGAGGATGCAGAGAAAGGAAGAAACAAGTGTGAAGAAAGAAATAAGGATGAAGAAAGAAAGAAATGGACAGAAGAAGAGCAGTTTTAAGCAGCTGGGTATAAAACACGCCATTCCCCAGCTGAGAGCCCAGACCACCCAATCGCTGCTTTCTGTGTCTGTATTTGTTTTTTCTTTATTCCCTTAATGCCCCAGTCAAGTCGGTCCCTGGGAGCTGTGAAAAGATACAGTAATTCCTCCTCCTAATAAGTTTTCATTTCTTAAAGTTTTTATTTGAGTGTAATTATCACAAATGAGATACAAAGGCATACAGGTCAACCAACGTAGAATTACAGACACTTTGGCAACCACCTCTCAGAACACAGTACATATTCCGTCATACCCTGAAGCTCCCTCAGGACCCTCCAGTGACTGCCTCTCTCTCTCCTCAGCCCCCTCTAGTGACTGCTTCTCTCTCTCCTCAGCCCTTTCTGGTTTCTAAGTCACCTTTGTCTTTGTTTAGATTTTCTGTGAATGGAATTAACTCTCTGCAATGCTTTCCGGCTTGACGTCTGTTCCTTGGTATGTTGTACGTGAGGTTTGTTTGTCTGCCTTGTCAGATGTTTTCACAGTCTGACCATCTTCATTGCAGAAGAGTGCTTCATTGTATGATTATTGTGTTTCCAGTTTCAGTAACACGTATAACAAAGACTCTTCCTTCTCCATGAATGACTTGGATCCTTTTGTACAAATTCCAGCTGGCATTGTGTGCTGGTCTATTGTTAAGCTTGATTTAACCCAGTAGATTCTGACTGTTGTACCATTACACTGTGAGTTATGTAAGTTCTCTGGGTTTGTGTTTTTTTCTTCAAAATCATTTTAGATCTTTGTGGTGGTTTGAACAAGATGTCCCCTACAGACTCTGGTATTTGAATTCTCACTTCCCAGTTGCTGGTGCCATCCAGGGAGGAAGTACAACCTTGCTAGATGAAGTGGGTCGCCAGAGGTGGGCTTTGAGAGTTTAAAGCCTTACTCGGGTCGCTTTCTCTGCTTCATGTTTATCATCGAGGATGTGAGCTCTCGGCTTCCAGCTCTGGCTGCCATGCCTGCTGCTGGCTGTGATGCCTCCAAGGCCATGGTGAACTTAGTCCTCAGGGACAACAAGCCAAAACAAACCCTTCCCTAAGTTGCCTTTGGTCACGGCATGTTATCACACCAACAGCAAAGTAACTGTAATATTTTAAAGCTTCCTTGTCTCTATGCATATGTTAGAGTCAGCCTATTAATTTCTCTTCAAGACATCTGCTGGGATTTTTATGCACTTTCTACAGAACAAATACATATGCTTATAAAACATCAGTATCTTAAAACATTGCATCCTCCAGTCAATGAACATAGTATATCCCTCTGTAGGCCTCTTTATTTTTTCTCAGATATACTTCAGAGTTTTTATAGAGAAATTATTCTAGTGTCTTTCTGCTGTTGTTATAAAACACACACCCAAAAGCAACTTGGGGGTGGGGTGGGGCGAATGGCGTCTTTGTTTTACACTTAAAGACCATGGTTTATCCCTAAGAGAAGTCAGGCCAGGAGCCTGAAGCAGAAACCATGGGGGAATGATGCTCACCAGCTTGCTGACTTTCTCATGGGTTCATGCTGACCTGCCTTATCCATCCCAGGACCACCTGCCTAGGGATGGTGCTGCTCACAGTGGGCGGGACCCTCAGTTAATAATCAAGACAGCGTCCCACAGACACGCCCACAGTCCAATCTGATCTGGGAAATTCCTCAATCTAGGTCTTCCTCTCAGATGACTCTGGACCGTGTTGAGTTGACAAAGCTAACAGGGACA